TCCTTGGTGTGGATGGAAGGAATAGTGCCCCATCCTTGGTGTGGATGGAAGGAATAGTGCCCCATCCTTGGTGTGGATGGAAGGAATAGTGCCCCATCCTTGGTGTGGATGGAAGGAATAGTGCCCCATCGTTGGTGTGGAAGAAAGGAATAGTGCCCCATCGTTGGTGTGGAAGGAAGGAATAGTGCCCCATCGTTGGTGTGGAAGGAAGGAATAGTGCCCCATCGTTGGTGTGGATGGAAGGAATAGTGCCCCATCGTTGGTGTGGGTGGAAGGAATAGTGCCCCATCGTTGGTGTGGGTGGAAGGAATAGTGCCCCATCGTTGGTGTGGGTGGAAGGAATAGTGCTCAATCGTTGGTGTGGATGGAAGGAATAGTGCCCCATCCTTGGTGTGGATGGAAGGAATAGTGCCCCATCGTTGGTGTGGAAGAAAGGAATAGTGCCCCATCGTTGGTGTGGAAGGAAGGAATAGTGCCCCATCGTTGGTGTGGAAGGAAGGAATAGTGCCCCATCGTTGGTGTGGATGGAAGGAATAGTGCCCCATCGTTGGTGTGGGTGGAAGGAATAGTGCCCCATCGTTGGTGTGGGTGGAAGGAATAGTGCCCCATCGTTGGTGTGGGTGGAAGGAATAGTGCTCAATCGTTGGTGTGGGTGGAAGGAATAGTGCCCCATCGTTGGTGTGGGTGGAAGGAATAGTGCCCCATCGTTGGTGTGGGTGGAAGGAATAGTGCCCCATCGTTGGTGTGGATGGAAGGAATAGTGCCCCATCGTTGGTGTGGATGGAAGGAATAGTTCCCCATCGTTGGTGTGGATGGAAAGAATAGTGCCCCATCCTTGGTGTGGAAGGAAGGAATAGTGCCCCATCCTTGGTGTGGATGGAAGGAATAGTGCCCCATCCTTGGTGTGGATGGAAGGAATAGTGCCCCATCCTTGGTGTGGATGGAAGGAATAGTGCAACCATCCTTGGTGTGGATGGAAGGAATAGTGCCCCATCCTTGGTGTGGATGGAAGGAATAGTGCCCCATCGTTGGTGTGGAAGGAAGGAATAGTGCCCCATCGTTGGTGTGGAAGGAAGGAATAGTGCCCCATCGTTGGTGTGGAAGGAAGGAATAGTGCCCCATCGTTGGTGTGGATTGAAGGAATAGTGCCCCATCGTTGGTGTGGGTGGAAGGAGTAGTGCCCCATCGTTGGTGTGGATGGAAGGAATAGTGCCCCATCGTTGGTGTGGATGGAAGGAATAGTGCCCCATCGTTGGTGTGGATGGAAGGAATAGTGCCCCATCGTTGGTGTGGATGGAAGGAATAGTGCCCCATCGTTGGTGTGGATGGAAGGAATAGTGCCCCATCGTTGGTGTGGATGGAAGGAATAGTGCCCCATCATTGGTGTCGATGGAAGGAATAGTGATCCCTCTTTGGTGTGGATAGGACTAGTGCCACATTTTTGGTGTGGGTGGAAGGAATAGTGCCCCATCGTTGGTGTGGATGGAAGGAATAGTGCCCTATTGCTGCTTTCGGTGGAAGAGATAGTGCCCCATTGTTAGTGATTGGAGAAGGAACAGTAGCCTATTGTTGGTGTGAGTTGAAAGAATAGCACCACATCGTTCGTGTGGGTGGAAAGAACAGTTCCCTATTGTTGGTGTCTGTGGAAGGAATAGTGCCCCATCATTAGTTATAGGGGAGGAATAGTGACATATTGTTGGTGTGGGTGGAAAGAGTAGCACACCATTGTTGGTGTGGGTGGAAAGCATAGCGCCCCATCACTGGTGTGGATGGAAAGCATAGTGCCCCTTCACTGGTGTTGGTGGAAAGCATAGTGCTCCATCACTGGTGTTGGTGGAAAGCATAGTGCCCCATCAGTGGTGTGGATGGAAAGCATAGTGCCCCATCACTGGTGTTGGTGGAAAGCATAGTGCTCCATCACTGGTGTTGGTGGAAAGCATAGTGCCCCATCAGTGGTGTGGGTGGAAAGCATAGCACCCCGTCGCTATTGTGGGTGGAAAGAATAGTGCCCCATCATTGGTGCTTGTGGAGTGAATAGTGCCCCATTGTTGGTGTAGGTGGAAGAACGAGTACCCCATCCTTGGTGTGGGTGGAAGGAAGAGTGCCCCATCCTTGGTGTGGGTGGAAGGAAGAGTGCCCTATCATTGGTGTTGGTGGAAGGCATAATGCCTCTTTGTTAGTGATAGAAGAAATAATGTCCCATCATTGGTGTGGGTGGATAGAATAGCACCCACATCGTTGGTGTGAGTGGAAAATATAGCGCTCTATTGGTGTGGTTGGAAAGACTATTGCCCCATCGTTGTTGTGGGAGAAAGGAATAATGTTCCATTGTTGGAGTTGGTAGAAAGAATAGTGCCCTATTGTTCCTTTTGGTGGAAGGAATTATTATTATTATTATACAGTATATAGCGCCAAAGGGTATGCTCAGCACTGTACAGTAGCAAGGGGGACATAACATGAGACAAGACAGTAACAATACACTACACGAGGGGTTCGAGAGCCCTGCTCTTTCGAGCTTACAATCTAGGAGGGAGGGGAAGGTGGCACAGGAGGAGATGGCTGGGGGATGGGGGGTGGGAGTGGAGGAGGTTAGTTGTTAGGTGAGGTTGGGGTAGGCTTCCCTGAAGAGGAGGGTTTTCAGGGTGCGCCTGAAGGTGAGGAGGGTAGGTGACAGTCTGATGGATTGGGGTAGGGAGTTCCAGAGGATGGGGGAAGTCCTGCAATCGGGCGTGGGAGGAGGAGACCAGGGAGCTAGAGAGCAGGAGGTCCTGTGAGGAGCGGAGGGCACGGGTAGGGTAGTGCCCCATTGTTAGAGATAAGAGAAGGAACAGCGCCCCATTGTTGGTGTGCGTGTAAAGAATAGCGCCCCAGCCTTGGTGTGGTTGAAAAGAATAGTTTACCATCATTGGTGTGGGTGGAAGGAAGAGTGCCACATCATCGGTGTTGGTGGTAGGCAAAGTGCCTCATTGTTAGTGATAGGAAAAGGAATAATGGTCTATTGTTGGTGTGGGTGGAAAGAACAGCACCCCATCGTTGGTGTGGGTGGAAGGAAGAGTGCCCCATCAGGGGCGAACTGACCATTTGGAAACTCGGGCACTGCCCGAGGGCCGGGGTCAGTAGGGGGCCCCATGAGATGCCCCTGGTACCTTTCTCATAGGCTTTTTTGTTTGGGCAAGGACACAGGGGCCCCATGATCCCCTATTGCCCGGGGGCCCCATGAGTTGTCAGTCTGCCCCTGTGCCCCATTGTTGGTGTGGGTAGAAGGAAGAGCACCCCATCGTTGGTGTGAGTGCAAAGGGATAGCGCGCCATCGTCAGTGTGAGTGGAAGGGAAAGCACCCCATCGTCGATGTGAGTGGAAGGAATAGCGCCCCATCGTCGGTGTGAGTGCAAAGGGATAGCGCGCCATCGTCAGTGTGAGTGGAAGGGAAAGCGCCCCATCGTCGATGTGAGTGGAAGGGATAGCGCCCCATCATCGGTGTGAGTGGAACAGCGCCCCATCATTGGTGTAAGTGGAAGGGACAGTACCCCATCATTGGTGTGAGTGGGACAGTGCCCTACCGTTGTTGTGAGTAGAAGGAACAGCGCCCCATTGTTGGTGGAAGGGACAGCGCCCCATCGTTGGCGTGGGTGGAAGGGACAGCACCCCATCGTTGGCGTGAGTGGAAGGGACAGCGCCCCATCGTTGGCGTGGGTGGAAGGGACAGCGCCCCATCGTTGGCGTGGGTGGAAGGGACAGCGCCCCATCGTTGGCGTGGGTGGAAGGGACAGCGCCCCATCGTTGGCGTGAGTGGAAGGGACAGCGCCCCATCGTTGGCGTGAGTGGAAGGGACAGCGTCCCATCGTTGGCGTGGGTGGAAGGGACAGCGCCCCATCGTTGGCGTGAGTGGAAGGGACAGCGTCCCATCGTTGGCGTGGGTGGAAGGGACAGCATCCCATTGTTGGCGTGGGTGGAAGGGACAGCGCCCCATCGTTGGCGTGGGTGGAAGGGACAGCGCCCCATCGTTGGCGTGGGTGGAAGGGACAGCGCCCCATCGTTGGCGTGGGTGGAAGGGACAGCGCCCCATCGTTGGCGTGGGTGGAAGGGACAGCGCCCCATCGATCGTGAGTGGAAGGGACAGCGTCCCATCGTTGGCGTGGGTGGAAGGGACAGCGCCCCATCGTTGGCGTGGGTGGAAGGGACAGCGCCCCATCGTTGGCGTGGGTGGAAGGGACAGCGCCCCATCGTTGGCGTGGGTGGAAGGGACAGCGCCCCATCGTTGGCGTGTGGGTGGAAGGGACAGCGCCCCATCGTTGGCGTGAGTGGGACAGCGCCCCATCGTTTGGTGAGTGGGACAGCGCCCCATCGTTGGCGTGAGTGGGAAGGGACAGCGTCCCATCGTTGGCGTGGGTGGAAGGGACAGCGCCCCATCGTTGGCGTGGGGTGGAAGGGACAGCGCCCCATCGTTGGCGTGAGTGGGACAGCGCCCCATCGTGGCGTGAGTGGGACAGCGCCCCATCGTTGGCGTGAGTGGACAGCGCCCCATCGTTGGCGTGAGTGGGACAGCGCCCCATCGTTGGCGTGAGTGGAAGGGACAGCGCCCCATTGTTGTTGTGGGTGGAAAGTATAGTTCCCTATCGTTGGTGTCAGTAGAAGGAATAGTGGCCTATTCTTGATGTGCCTTGAAGAAATCGTGCCCTATCTGTGGTGTCGGTGGGAGAATAGTGCCCCATGTTTGGTGTCATCAGGAGATGGTGTGCCCCAAGGACGGGGTAAAGTCTCCCTCGGTGTCATAGTTGTGGCAGCCCTGATGACACGTGTGTACGGAGGCCGGGGATGCTGTGTTCTCCCTCCCCGTCACAACTGTAGGGCGGAGTGAAGGACAACGTGCACCAGATTGGGCTCACTCATCTCGCTGGATGCAGACAACACGTCAGTGAGGGAGGCAGAGTAGTGCGTTGTGTTCTGTCGTCCAGCAGGTACCTTTGTACATACAGCCTTCCTCCCTCCCGCTCTGTATTATGCTGATCATGGATGAGCTGAGGGAGATGGATTGCAGCGTACTGAAACGGCTGCTCAAAAGAGACGGCATCCCGAACCGGAGCAGTACCGACAGCGGCCACAAGCTCCATTCCAGCCCGAGCGCTAATAGTAACGGCATGAGCGGAGGCGGCAGTGTGGGGGTCGGAGGTACTTGCCTGCTTCTGGACTGTAGACCTTTCCTGGCGCACAGTGCGGGCTTCATCCAGGGATCGGTGAACGTACGCTGTAACACCATTGTCCGGAGAAGGGCCAAGGGCTTTGTGAGCCTGGAGCAGATCCTACCGGCGGGGAGCAAGGACGAGGAGGAGGTGCTGACCCGGCTCCGTTCAGGACTCTACTCTGCCATCATTGTGTATGATGAGAGGAGCCCCAGAGTCGAGTGCCTGCGGGAGGACAGCACGGTGTCACTGGTGGTGCAGGCTCTGCGCAAGGACAACGACAGCACTGACATCTGTCTACTCAAAGGTACAACAATGCACAGGGTACCATTCACATACCACAGCACTGTCACATCATGGAAGGGGAGCTTTATCAATGAAGGCTCCAGCTCCATTCACAAGTCTGGATGTCTTAGCTATGGCTGACTGTTTGATCTACAAACACCATATGGTACATTCGGGCAAAAATGAGGAATAGTAGAAGCTTTATAGGCACCTCTATTGGACCAGGTGGGGAACCCAAAATGACAGTGCCTTGTATTGGTAGCCATCTTTTTGGGGAGTCTCCGAACAATAGCAATGCTGTAGCTTGGGTTCTCCGAGAACACCAACAACCAGTGTTTCTGCATCTATTCTCTATTTCCAGACATACACTTAAGTGTAGAGTAGGCTAGGTAGGTGCTCAGTTCTAGTTGTGTCATGTTGTGACTTAGTTGGTATCTTCTGGCCACGATTTGCTAAAAAACAGGTTGTCACAAGGTGGGTTGGAGACCTGTCAATCCTCCAATTTAGGTTTTAGAAGCTCACATTTATTTTATTTATTTTTTTACCCCTATGCCAACCTAGGTTCTAGCTCATATTTTTGATCCCTACACTTATCTAGGTTGTTTAAGATCGTATATTTGCTTCCTACACCAATCAAGGTTTTAGAAGCTCACGTTTTTGCTCACTACACTGATCTAGGTTTTAGAAGCTCACATTTTATCTCCCTACAACAGTCTAGGGTTGAGAAACTCACATTTTTGTTCCTTACGCTAGTCTGAGTTTTGGAAGCTCACATATTTTTTTCTCTACACTAGGTTTAGACACTCTAATTTTCACTCCATACAATAGTCTAGGGTTTAGAAGCTCACATTTTTGCTCCTTACGCTAATCTAGGTTTTAGAAGCTGACATTTTGCTCCATTCAACAGTCTAGGTTTTAGAAGCTTGCATTTTTGCTGCCTACAACAGTCTAGGTTTTAGCTGACATTTTTGCTCCCTACAACAGTTTACGTTTTAGAAGCTTGCAGTTTTGCTCCCTACAGCAGCCTAGGTTTTAGAAGCTTGCAATTTTGTTCCCTACAGCAGTCTAGGTTTTAGAAGCTCGCAATTTTGTTCCCTACAGCAGTCTAGGTTTTAGAAGCTCAAAATTTTGCTCCCTACAGCAGTCTAGGTTTTAGCTCACAATTTTGCTCCCTACAGCAGTCTAGGTTTTAGCTCACAATTTTGCTCCCTACAGCAGTCTAGGTTTTAGCTCGCAATTTTGCTCCCTACAGCAGTCTAGGTTTTAATTCGCAATTTTGCTCCCTACAGCAGTCTAGGTTTTAGCTCGCAATTTTGCTCCCTACAGCAGTCTAGGTTTTAGCTCGCAATTTTGCTCCCTACAACAGTCTAGGTTTTAGAAGCTTGCAGTTTTGCTCCCTACAGCAGTCTAGGTTTTAGAAGCTTGCAGTTTTGCTCCCTACAGCAGTCTAGGTTTTAGAAGCTCACATTTTTTTGCTCCCTACAACAGTCTAGGGTTAAGAAACTCATATTTTTTTTTCCTCTATATGCTAGTCTGGGTTTTAGGAGCTCACATTTTTGTTCCCTACACCAGCTTAGGTTTAGAAGCTTTCATCTTTGCTCCATACAATAGTCTAGGGTTTAGAAGCTGACATTGTTGCCCCTTACGCTAGTCTAGGTTTTAGAAGCTCACATTTTTGCTCCATTCAACAGACTAGATTTTAGAAGCTTACATTTTTGTTCCCTACACCAATCTAGGTTTTAGAGGCTCACTGATTTGTTCCCTACACCAATCTAGGTTTTGGAGGCTCGCTTATTTGTTTTGTCGCCCTACACCAATCTAGGTTTTAGAGGCCCCCCTTTTTGTTCCATACACCAATCTAGCTTTTAGAGGCTCACTGATTTGTTCCCTACACCAATCTAGGATTTAGAGGCTCACTAGGATTTATTTGTTCCCTACACCAATCTAGGTTTTAGAGGCTCATTTATTTGTTCCCTACACCGATCTAGGTTTTAGAGGCCCACTTATTTGCTCCCTACAACAGTCTAGGTTTTAGAAGCTCACATTTTTGCTCCTTACACCAATCTAGGTTTTAGAAACTCACATTTCTGTTCCCTACATTAATCTAGCTTTTAAAGGCTCACTTATTTGCTCCCTAAAACAGCCTAGGCTTTAGATGCTCAATGTTTGCTCTACATGCCTATCTATGTTTTAGGCCCTCAGTTTGTCCCATACATTAATCTCCATTTTAGACCCTCACATTTTTGATCCTTACACCAATCTATGCTTCAGACCCCTCACATTTTTGCTCTGTACACCATATGGTTACCATATACGGTGTCTGTGAATTTAATAGCATATTGATATAACAATTTATTCCACAATATCTCTTGGAAGGTTTGTTTTTGCATGGCAGGCCGCAAGTACTATACTCAAGAAAGCTTAAAATGACCCTTCGACTATCACTGTAATTTAAAATTTAAGGGAACAGCTTTAATAGGCCCTAAATCTGGTCTTCTTCAGTAAGGCAATAAAAAGCAGAGTATCTCGCAGCAACTGGCAAATTATCTTTCACTGATTTGAGTAAACAGACATCCTATTCATATGGCTTTCTGCTGATTATCCTTTGTAGGATCTTGCTGTATAAGCCCTCCTTTGTCATGTTATTCATTAGAAGTGTGCTATTTTTTCCTTTTTGTGTGCACCAACTAAAAAAATATATATATTTTTTTTTGAGTCAAATGATAAAATGTTATAACATTGCAAGCATCTCCCATGTGGTAAAGGGGAGACCAAAAGCGAGATAATAAATACACACAAGAATTACATTTACTGCCAGGAATATTGTGTTTGCTGGCAGTTTCAGTACTTAAATGAGCTGTCAAGTAATGATAACACAAATATTGTAAGTATTAACATATGGTTATTCGCAGTTCTATTTCCTTTCCTCTATGGTTGCCCAAATGTATTTACTATGTTGTTTAACATGTAGAAATAATTAGATTTTTTTTGTATTGTATGGTATAAAGATTCATATCTTTATACCATACCATAAAATTTGATATGGTATAAAGATTAAAACATGAGATGTAGCAGATATTAATAGGTGACACAAAATGGTTTTGTAACAGAATCATACGAATGTCAATGTTGAATCATACACTTGAATGAAATGACTTCCAGCCGACAATCAGTTTGACTTTGGTTGTAAAGTGAAGTCATTCAGGATCTAAAGGCAGGGTAATATTGAGGTTCTTCATACAGTCACCCATGTGTAATACAGACCTGCTCAGCCTTTATTTGAATGGGTAAACCTCATTGCAAGCAAGCCTTGACCCCAATGAACCAGGGTGGGAAAATGCCATATGTTGTAAACTCATTAGGTGTTTTTTTTCTTTTTATAACTTTGATCTTTTTCCATATAGATGGGTATGTTTAAGAGAAATAAGTATTATCTATACAGTGAACACCCTTAACCTTTTAAACCTTCTTTGTCTCACTGTATCCTGTATAGGTTGAACATTGTGAATTGCTAGACACAGACATTTTTAAACCTGAATCTGTTTAGTAAATGCAATAACTACATTTAGATGTTGTTTTATTTCATACTTGTTAGATGCAGTGCTCTTGTGAAATCCAAGAACGTCAATTTCTATTTACACATGATGGATGGAACTGTGTTTATATTTAATTCATTGCTGTCTGTAAACCTGCCAGTCCATTCACGATTTCTCATTGATATCCAGCTATACTCATTCATGATTTTCTACAGCGGAAGAGCCCGCTGATCACAAGATCTTTTTTAACTTGCATTACATTCATTTTAGGAATTCCGCCCATCTGACTTTTTTTTTTTTTTTTTTCATTTTCTTTTTTCTTCTGCTGAATATTTAGCATACATTCTTGTCATTTCTCAGCCTTTGTTGTCTGTGAGTGTGTGAACAGCCCTCGATCCCCCCTCCCTCATCCCACCCTGTTATTATCCAATGAAAAAAGACCAGAATTGTTACCTTTTTTCTAATCAATGAAACTTCAATATCAACAACTATGGTGCCTGTTTCATTTTGTGCTTAATTATTCAAAGACCGGAGTGTTTAAATATATGTCTAGGCCATAATATTATTTTTCTTTCTATACGTGTTACAAACAAAGAGAATGCAGAGCAGACATCAGAGGCTGGAGCCGTCAAAATTAAATATGTGCTAGCTTTTCCAAGTGTATTCACTGAGCATGGTGCACATTGTGAGAATGGGATACAAAGGGAATGTATTCACGCCAACCTCTCCTATTTTTAAATAGTTTAATCTATAAATGCTTTTGGTTGATATAGCTAACAGCACTTTGATTCAGATTTTTAGATTTCAGATTGTGCTGCCTTTCTGAATGTCTGTCTACGTTCCTGCTTTTACAGGAAATAATACTGCCATATAGTGATATATACTGTATTACTGTTCATGACATACATGAGTATACTAAGAGTATTGTTTTGAGACAGACATGTTGGTCTACATTAGTCATAATAGTAGCTGTAATGTTTCATTCACATTTGTAACCCTTTAGACTTCCACTTCCTTTTCAGTCTTCCTCTTTTTACCACATTCAATGCGTTTCTTTCATTTTGAACAAGAACCTATTACCTGAAAACAGCAGCATCTAAAACATGTGACCAGACACAGCACATTAACTGACTATAATACAATTAATGCATGTCATATTTGGTACAGGATAGTCCAGTATTCACCCATTTGACATGTGTATGAACCTACAGTTTTCTAGGCAGGAAAAAATATTAAGAAATTGAATATTCCATTTCCAACACAGAGCATGCTAACTGTACAAAATTGTTCTAGTATACAGCACTCATTGGACACATGCAGATTAGGTATATTAATATGGCATTTCATATATTTATTTATTTCAGGTACTTATATAGCGCCGTCAATTTACGCAGTGCTTTACATTTATATTGTACATTCACATCAGTCCCTAACCCTCAAGGAGCGTACAATCTAAGGTCCCTAACTCACATTCATATACAAGGGC